CGAGTAATACTCCATAGTATATATACACCACATCTTCTTTATCCATTCACCCATCGATGGACATTTGGGCTCTTTCCATACTTTGGCTATTGTTGATAGTGCTGCTGTAAACATGGGGGTGCGTGTGTCCCTTCGAAACAACACACCTGTATCCCTTGGATAAATACCTAGTAGTGCCATTGCTGGGTCGTAGGGTAGTTCTATTTTTAGTTTTTTGAGGAACCTCCATACTGTTTTCTAGAGTGGCTGCACCCGCTTGCATTCCCATGACGTTTTCTCATTAAGCTCAGAAGACTGAAATTCTTCAAAATGACAATTAAAACAATTTTTGATGGCTTTATTGTCACACCAGTAACCCAATCCTTCTGCAAGAAGCATTAGATAAAGAAGAGACCTAATTTGTTATCCTGGTTTCTTGGTTCTCAGTAGTTGTCTTACTATGAACGTAATTTCTAACTTTCCTCATCTGTAAAATGGTTAAGGTTAAATCATATCTAAGTTCCCCCTTCTAGCTCTAAGATTTTGAGTCCACAAAAATTTTCATTTTCCAATTAGAATGGATTAGGCCAGGGGCTGACCTACTATTGTTCCAGCTAGGAGAAATTTGCCATCTTTTATTACATAGGCATTTATTTAAATCAGTTCCTTTCATTTACGTAGAAATATCTGATTCATATTTAGTAGTCCTTGCTGATATGAAAGCCAGTTTTGGAAAAAAGTTAAAATATTTCTTTTTAAAAGTAGCTAACATTATAACGTCTTGATCTTTCAACAAATAAGGATAGCACATCATGACGTAACCCAAAACATGTTTCCAGGCACAGAAAGAAGACCTGGGGAGTGATATGCAGTGAAACACTCCTGCCAGGTGGAAGACAGTCCCCAGGAGACATGAGTGTCCTTGTCTCTCCTCTATTTATTAAGTACTTTCTTGGTATAAAGCAAGAACAAAGTAAGAATTGTTGACAGTTGGTTTTAATGCACTTCCTATGTCTAACTACTAGGAACCTTTGTCTCTTAGAAAACATGCCTCAGAAATTCTGACTCCATTCAACCTTCGCTTGAAATCCTGGCATCAAAGAAAAACTTTTGGGCCCAGGTCATCATTGCTGTATTCAGTCTGATCATTCATTCCGTGCGCACACACACACAAAAGCCAAGTGACACTTGAACGTCTTCTGCAGCTTCCTGTCCTAACCCCCAGAAAGCTGGTAGGATGCATAGAGAAGTGATGTTCAGATGTACATGTGATGGGTATCCTCAATGTGTTGAGTAAATGCCTCCTCACTTACCGAGCTGTAACTGTGACAGCTGACAGCCTGTCATACCCTAACTCATATAAATTCTTTCAAATAATTGACACTGTGTGTATCTCTGTGTCTATGATATGTGTATCAAACTAGCTATGTCAAAGCATTTTGCTCTCTGAACCACTTTAAGTAGCAATCCACCAGCCACTTGGAGCACAGAGTGACAGTAACATAATGAGGTCTTGGCTCTGGGTTGCGAGAGTTGTGATAAAGGAATGAGTGTCATATCCAAATACGGAAACGCTATGGAGCTATTAAAAATATTGACCAGGATATTTTTAATTCACATGCTGTTGTTATTATCTTAGCAGATTTCTGCTCTGTGGCTTTGGAAAGAGGCACACGATGTCTAAATAGTATGCCTAAGTGATATTGGGAATGTCTGCAGGCAAAGGCAGGAAATACATGGTCAGAAGCATCCTGGGGAGGTGGCCACAATCCCTGCCACCGTCTGTGACGGAGGCAGGAGCTGAGCAGTGAACAGTCACCCCAGATACTCCCCACAGTACTGACTGTTGAACACAAAGCATTCTTCTACAAACCGTGCCCAAACTATGGACCTGAAGGAGCCCTTGAAAATGAACGCTATGTGTGCTTCATGAAGGTAGAGTTATGAGCCAAGCACACACATTTATACAAATAAATTTTTTAAAGCGCATTTGTAGAAGTACTTTGTTTCGTACAGCTTGGAAAATATGTAACAAGCCACCACAACTAAAAAGTAGCTAGTTCATCCATTAACCTCCTCTAAGAGACATCAAGATATTTAATTGTGTTTTGAAGCCTTTTTTTTCTCCCAACAGCCCCCCTGTTATTGAACATGAGGTTGCTGATGCTTCTTTTCCATTAGTAGGCAATGATAAAACATTGCTTTGGACTGTCAAGAGATAATATTACTCTAAGAGCTAATGTTTCTCCATTGCTATGTGGCAGGCATTTTGCTAAGCTCTTTACCCATATGCTAGAGAGGTCTAATAGCTTGTCCAAGTTCACAAAACCAGTGAGTGTCAAACCTGTCATTTCAAGCTGACTCCAGAGCCTACATGCTCATCCAGTGTGCTATTTGTGTTTGAATCAGGTTTATTAGTTATGTACCCAGTCAAGGATGCACATAATCTCAAAGTACATAATGCAATATAGGCTCCGGAAGTGTATTTTTGACATGAGTTTATATTCTCAAAGTTACCCTCAAAAGCCCCCAAGTATGTGTATGTGTATGTTAAATGTTTGGAAGCTTCCTATTTACTATGAATGAAAAAGTTATCGATGTTATTTATGGTTTACAAGTCCTTTTCACATGTATCCTATAAACCACCTGGAAATCTCTAGAGATAAGCAACATAGGTATTACCTCCCCCATTTTGCAGATGAGATCACCAAGGAAAAGTGCATGTTCCCTAACTCTAGACAGTGGGAGAACCGGGCTTCCTCGTTGCCCATCCGGTCTGTGTTCCAACAGTCCCTTCTACCTATCCCGTTGGGATCCATTGGCAACCTTTCATAAGAGAGTGACAGCAATGCTCCTAAATGTTCGGTGAATCCATTGAAAGATGTTCTGAAATCAGAGCACATGTCAAGGTCAAAGCCATGATTAGGACTATTAATTTTTAAGTCTGTACTTTTTTCCAGCCTCTCATTTTTGGACTTTGCATTTTCTTTAAGAGAATGAGATTGTTTGAGGTTCTGTTGAACTGGAAAGAAGACACAGAAAGCCAAACACGTCAAGTTGCTCACATTAAACATCTGTAGCTTTGTTTTTGTTCATCAGTTAGATGGGAGGAATCCTTTGACAGTATGAAGTCATCATCATGTGCACTTTAAATATCTTACAATTTTGTCACTATACCTCGGTGAAGCTCAA